ATTTATCAGCAAGATGGGGCTCTGCCATACTACCACCGCCTCGTCCGCCCGCGGCTACCTCAGTCGGCATTTGCCACAACGTTGGATCAGATGTACGGCTGCCAATGACCATGCGCTGCTTCGTTGGCCACCCCTATCACTGACCTGATGCCATGTGATTTTTTCTTATGGTGGTACGTTCAGGACCAGGTCTTTGTACCGCCTCTGCCACGGGATCTGCTTGACATCTGCCGCATCACAAAGGGCGGACACATAGAACATTTATGAAGTATGTATAATAAACTTGGATAGTTTCTCATTCTATCAGCATGTCCTATGTTGCCATCCATTGCACCATTCAAGTGTAGCGAATTTTTGTATTGTGTCAGGGAATTATGAATAACCCTGTAGAACAGGAAATATTATACAACAATATGTAGCAGTTTCCATATCCCTGCTATAAAATAATGAATGAACCACGTCCACTTATTTCCTCCTGTGGTGTATGGGACAGAATGTGTGTCGTTAAGTTACATATATATGTGTGTATGTGTATATATATATATATATATATATTTGTTTTTTACAGTCCTATGTGCAGTGAACATTTTTGTGGCATAAAGTTTATGTTGAGATGTATCTGTAGAAAGAACAGCTTGTGTTAAAGTGTAAATGAAAAATAAGTGACAGGCGATACCAACAAAGCTAAGAGTTTCGTTGTTCGTTGTTAGTGATGCATTGTCATTTCTTCTGATATATCCCATCACTGTCAATAGGACAACCCTGTGCTACATGAGGGTAGCACTGGCACCATCTCAGTACGCTACACAACAAGCATTCACAATGGAGGAACTGGCTGGGTGGCAAAGTTTGCAGCAAAGGAACGAGGTAGCTACATTTTTCACTTGGTTTATTTCATTTCCATAAATACAAGTTGGCTATGGAGTGCCTGATTTGGTAATAAGTTTCATTATAAGCAGGTTCTTTATAACACACTTCCAAACTTCGTGTTGGCTGTAGAATACAGTAAATGATTTCAAAAGTTGGGGTATTGATATTAAAGTAAAAGTGACTGGAACTTATTTTCAATCCAAAACAAAAGCGCATGCCTATAAGATGGTCTGAGTTCATAAGCTGGCTGCTTCAGCGAGTGCTCGTAGCATTTCCACATAATAATTCCAAGTTTTTTTTTACAGAATATTCATGTGTGATGAACAAATTACATTTTTAATTATTCGCCTTTGTTAGATTTTAAAAAATAAGTAATTTATACTTTTAAACATAAAACATCTCAGGTAGTGAAAGCTCATGTCAAAATGTTAAGTTCCCTTTCACAAAAGTTAATACGCCACCATCCATAGACAGTGCACGGAGCACCCGAAGACTCGCGCTGCCATCTCAGGTATTGAAAGCTCATGTCAAAAGGTTAAGTTCCCGTTCACGAAACTTAATACGCCACCATCCATAGATAGTGCACGGAGCACCCGAAGACTCGCGCACTGTGCCTGGTTGATTTATCAGGCATTTTATTGTAGTGGGTCAGACGTTACAGCCAGACTTTGCCCCCTCATGAAAATCTGTAGAGTTGGCCAAGCGGTTGTAGTGGGCCTTCATCCTGTCACTGGCCACCTTCAAACGTTGAAAGGCGGAGTGATGGATGTCGTGTAATCAATCTACGAGGTCCAACGCATATTTGATTGCAAACTGCTCCTTATCAGTGGATCCCTAAACAGTACGTCACAGGGCAGATATAGCTCCTTCCCAAACACCATGTTGGTGGGTGCCCTCATGGATTGATGTTCTTTGGGTCAGCATGAAGTGGGTAGCCTCTTGCCCCAATCCCTTCAGTGCACCAAAACAACCTTTCTCAGGTGTTTCTCGATCATCTCATATGTCATTCCACCATGCAATCTGATTGCAGGTGCAGAGTGTGACGTATTCCCAGGTGCTCTTAACGTGTCTCATATGAGCTGAGATTCAAATTTCCGGACGTGGTCATCGTACAGCTATCTTGAGACCCAGATGTGGTGGAGGTTGGTCACTAGGGCATCAGCCACTATTTATGCCTCTTGGTTACGGATTGTGGACACTTCTGACCACTTGGTGAAGTATTCTGTGGTTCCCACTCTAGTTTTTCAGGAAAGGTCCTGCATTGTCGATGTCGATCGCCTTGAACGGTCTCCGACGTCACACTGGCGCATCAGGCCTTGGCTCTCAGTCCTGAGGCATCTGTCTTCCTGTTGACACCACCTCTCAGCATTGCTCCTCAAGTGCAGCCAGTAATACCAATAGTATAGCTGCCTCACTTTGTCTAGTGCTTCATTGACTGCAGGGCATTCTGAAGGTCCTCTGTGGAGCTTCTGCCAGTACATCCTTCAAGGGAGGACTGTTTGTGCTGTCTTTGTTCTTCCATCTGCCCTGTTCCCAGCGGTGCTTTTGCACACCAGTTCTTACTACTAGTGATATCCTCTGGGCCCGGTAATTTTTGTAGATGGGGCTATGGTCAGCGGCGTCTCTCCGCTCTGGACGTCGTCCAGCCTCCATTTTCGGTATGAATTTCCCCAGATCTTGGTCAGTCAGGTGCTCCCTCCTGTGGGTGACACTGTCCCAACCATGTGCAGCAGCAGCGATGACGTACTTTCCAGTACCCATTGGATAGGAGCCGGTCTTGAGGCAGAAGCTAAAAGAAAATACTCTGTCGGGGATCGAACCCCGATATTCCAGTCCGTAGCCAGTCACACTGGCTCATAATTTACATGTAATATCTTTCTTAATAGCATTTGTACTGACCCCTGCAAGTTGGATAACAGTAACCATTTCTCTTTTTCAGGAACTACAATCTACAATTTCTGACGTCAGCCTGCAGCATTCCTTACAAAATATAAGTTTTTCAGAGACCAGCGTATTGGTTACATTACAGTTGTCTCAGTGAGCATGTATTCTTACTGTTCTGATGTAAAATGAATAAATCGTGCCAAGTCAACTCACTGCATTGTGTACACTTAACCTCTAAACTGGATATACAATTGTACTCAGTGTGGAGATGATTAATCAGCTTTATGTTCTGTTTGGGTTACTCACGAGGAAAGATGCATTGGATAGGAAGATGGGTGGAAACCCAGAGCCATTTTGGACATTGTGATGAAAAGAAAAATCCCTGTATAGAAACATTTCTGGTATAAACAACCCATATTTTATCAGATCACCATGATAACTTGTTCACTAAATCTTAAGACCATGGCTTTCAAGACTTTTAGCCTCTTTGTTCAGAAAAACCTCAACACTACAATTAAGCGTCAATTAGGAAAAAAAACACTATCATGCTGTACCTCCATTACATGCCCAAAAGTACATCTTCACTTATAGACAATTGTAGTACCATCTGCCTTTGACAGTTTTCTTATGTTAACTGTACTTCATGCGTAAGAGAGAATTATATTGGTGAGTTCAACGATATGACATGTATATTGTACGTGCATGTGCGCACGTGCATACAGCCCAAAGGGAGGGCAAAGCACAAGGGGGTCAAGCTACAGGGAGCAAGATGTAGGCAAAGTTCCAGTGTGGGCGAGGAGTTGTGCTGGGGCAAACACCTGGCAGGAAGATGTTTAGAAACCTGGGACTGCTTTGCCTCTTCGGTAAGAATTGGTTATTCGAGGGTCAACATGGGTTCAGGCCGGGATATTCATGTGGAAGTCAAGTAATCACGGTTTGCCAGGACATTGCAGAGACACTGGATAACGGAAGAAGGTTAGATGCGATTGATGCCTTGCAGGTCCGGTCTCTGTCAGATTGTCTCGTATCTACTCTGTCTCTGAAGAAGGCGGTCGTTTCCTCAGACGTGCAGTCTCTGAAAAGCCCAGGTGCACCAGACAGCTCGTAAGGTAGAGATCGATCCGGGCAGACACACGGTCGGCCACACACCTAGACTTGCAGAGGCCAATTGATGAAGACGGAGGCAGTCGGCAACCGTGTGAGATAGAGGCCGAGTCCGGCAGAGACAGGCGGTGGAATTCACCGAGGCTGGCATGCATATCTTTGGGTGACTTGTGAAAAAAATTTGAAATTTTCGAAAAATCAAAAAATGCTGGAAATTGTCCGAAAAGCGCACAAAACCAAATAATTTTGAAAAATTCGAAGAAAAAATTGAATGTGATATTTTTCAAAAATTTGGTTTTGTGCGTTTTTAGATAATTTCGAGCATTTTTTGATCTTCCGAAAATTTTAGAATTTTTCAAAATTTCTCTCACAATTCTCCCCACCTAATGCTTTGCAGGACCGGTCTCCGTCGGATTCTCTTATCTTCCCTGTCTCTGAAGAAGGCGGTCGTTGCCTCATACGGTCTCAGAAGTGCAGTCTCTGAAAATCCCAGGGGCAGCAGACAGCTCTTAAGGCAGAGATTGAGACGGGCAGACACGGTCGGCCACACACGTGGACCTGCAGAGACCGATTGATGAAGACATCGAGGCAGTCGTCAACTGCGTGAGATACAGGCCGAGTCTGGCAGAGACAGGCAGTGGCATTCACCGAAGGCTGGCATGCATCTCTTCGGGTGACTTGTGAAAAATTTTGAGATTTTCAAAATTTTCGAAAAATCAAAAAATGCTGGAAATTGTCTGAAAAGCGCACAAAA